CGTGTTTTAGACTGCATTAAGAAGCACTGCTCTAAAGACTTGAGATCACATCCTCGTCTGTTTGTAACATGTGCACATCGCTGCGTTCAAAAGTGCCTCCCACTGCCTTGACACATATAATTAATGTACGTTAATTTCACTTTTGAAAACATTTATCTCAAAACTTTTTAATAATACCTTACTAGATCAAAAAAGAAAATAAAATAAAAAATATATATGATCATAGCAGATTCTATAAGCTATTTTATATGTAACACAAACGTTCATTTTTGTTTTTGGAGGATTAATAACAAATTAACATTATAGCAAGGTGTTATTAATGAACTCAAATTCTTTTTTGCTGAATCGCCAATTATGAATCATTTTTATTTTTTGCTGAACTCAAATCCTTGTACGTGGACAATATTTTTTTTGATTAATTAATTAAATTCTCATTTCGCCCCATTGAAATATTCTAATTTATAAGGTTACATAAAATTATTTCCTGAAAATTGTAGCTATGTCCACTTAATAATAAAAATTCTGAGTGTATATATATAACTCAATATTGTTTAAAACTTAATTTTAACACAATACTTTCAAATGTAGGGGTCTTTTAGAATATATATATATTTTTTGCTGGAATATAAATTTAAAAACACAATAAACTTGATATATCTGAAGACGAACAATAATCAAAAGAGAAAAACATCATGGCCGTTATGACAATGTCGTTTGCTCTGGATCAGAATGTGAATGGCATTTATATGCCAAACGACATGTCGTTTTCTAATTTGTTGTTTACTTGTTTTCACTTCCAGTGAACAAATAGACGTATCGCTAAGCGTAAGCCACGTTATTGTAGCTTGCGTTTTCCCGTTTCCTTGGCTGTTCCTATTAGAATGTCCCTGTGCCACATGTTATTTTTTACAAACGACGTGTCAGAAATGAAATTTCGTTTTTGCTTTTGGGGGAAAACGACATGTCGGGCCTGTTTGTTTGTGTTTTCATTTTCATTTTTTACGATTTTTAAAGCAAAAAAATGAAAACGGGTGTTAAAAACGTGTTTGGTGTAAATTTTTTTAAAAAATAAAACCGAAAACGTTTTTATCTTTTTGTGGAAATCAGAAAACGAAAAAAAAATGTTTTCATTTTCTCGTTTTCGTTTTCTATTTTCTGAAAACGGATTTCATTTTTTTTTTTTTCATTTTCTTCCCTCTTTTCTGAAACCGTTTTTGTATTATGTTTATTTAATATATTTAATAATATTACTTATATAATATATTTAATAATATTATTTATTTAATATATTTAATAATATTATTTATTTAATATATTATTATTTAATATATTATTACATGTTTTAAAAAATTAAACCACCAAACGCAGTTTCAGTTTTTTTTAAAACTGAAATCAATCTCTAAATAAAACTACCAAACACATTTTCAGAAATAATTCAAAAATAAAACTAAAAACGTTTTCATTTTCATTTTCGTACAGAAAACAAAAACGTTTTGGAATCAATTCCAAACGTACCCGTCTTTTGTTGGTTTATTTAGTCACTCGTGGAATTACACTAAACATAAACGACATATCCTTGTTAAAGTTTATCAAACATTGAGGATTTGGACGAGTGATTATTGTGAGAGGCCTAATACGAGAGTGGCAAAACATGTGTTTTTCACCACTCAAGGGACAACTAACTCATACTTTTTTATATAAGAGAAAATAATGTAATAAAAAAGTTAAATTTAAATTTTTGTAAGATAAAACACCGTGATAAAGTTGTGAAAAAAAGTTTTGGAATCAATAATTTATTAAGTACTTTTGGTTTCTTTTTTTTTTTTTTTTTGAGGGGGTTAGAAATAATATTAAGTGCTCTTGTTGAAAAATAACTCTTGTTAGAATAGATCATCATCGTATTCACTATTCAAGTAGAAGCTTCCACTTTATAACTTATAGTACTCATCAATATAGGTAACTTTTAATGCTTACAAAGGTTTAAGGTTAGAAAAATATGCATATATCTTTCAAAAGTCTCCACCCCTTAGTGTAATTATTAATTCCTTAGTCTAATTATTAAATTAATGGTTCAACACATCTTTTTCGTATGTCCTTTGATTACTCAAATTCAACAAAAAAAATTCAAGGTTCACCAATAAATTGTTCTACAATTTACTTCAAAAAAAAAAAAAAAGAACGAGAAAATCTCTACACGTGCACCTTGAAAGATTTGAAAAATGATTGATTTTTTCCCCTTAGATAACTTCTACTTGTTTTTAGTCTTTTACTAATTTGAGCATAGGATAAGCCAAAAAAAATGATTTCTTTCTAATATGTCAGCTTCAGAATATGAGCCAATCAAATGATACAAATATGAAAACTAAAGACGAAAAGACTTAATCGTATTACTTAGCTACCATATTTAGGATCAGTTGGTTGTTGTATTTTTAAAATAATTGATCTACTTTTAATAGAAGTACTACTTTTACTTAAAGTAAAAGCAGAAGTAAAAGTAGAATTTAAAAGTGACACGTACCAATTTCTTAAAATAACTTAAAAAATATTGATTTATGCACAAAGTGCTTTTATACACTTTTACCAAACACTATAATTACATTGTTCATTATGCCAAGTGTTTTTAGAAGTTTCAAAAGCAATTCCAAGCACACCCTTAGAGAACACGTCTCTAATATTATAATGTTTTGCTATATTGTATTGTATGGCTTAAGATTATTATTATATATTACCTCTATGTTACACTTCCAAAGTAACACAAAATTTTCAAAGGATTAACTAGGATTTATGGTTGTAACTGAGATGGGGAAAACCACAATGAAAGTCATGATCGTTCTGTTTATATTATTTCAAGCATTAGTTAGTCTTGCCTCTTCCTCTCCAACCCTAATGCCTAATTCACTTTCTCTCGCTACTTCATCTGATGATGGTATAGTTAAGATCCCTAATGTTCCTAAAAAAGGAGATATAAAGCATAAAACTTGCATTGTATTGTAAATGATTGCCTTGAACACTCCAGAAATATCCTACTCAGTTTGCACATTTTGCTTGTCGTTGCTCCAGAAGTTGCCTTCACGTATGAGCATAATTTTTGATCCGGTAATGTATCTTGGATGGCCATACAGAGTTCATGAGCACTATTTTCGTATTTGTTTGTATAATTTGTTAGATCATCATGGTTTTACATACAATACAAATCATATATGTAGATATCATCACTGATGAATATTATTATCTTTTTCTTAATCAATCGCAAATTCACATGTCAATTTTGAGATCCACTGAGTATGATAGAGATCAGTCCTACACAAATTTACGTGTCAATTTCTAATTGGTTAGAAAATTTGTAATATTGAACAAACAACTCATTTTTTATTCCTATATTTTTCTATAAAAGAATTGGATGGAAATAAATCTCCTCAGGGTAATTGATTATTATCGGTTGTATTTTCTTAGATGTGTGGACTAAAAGGAAAGATTATGGCAATCATCTGCGCTACTTATGGGAGTGCTTGCTATTGCTATCATCATCGCCAACGAAATCGGCAATAAGTACTAGAAGAAATATTGTTTTATACATAGATAAATATATGTATATAGATATTTATGGGTATGTATGCATGTACATAATATAACTTCTTGTGCTTGTGTCATACAGCTTTACGCATATATCTTTGACGTATATAGGATACATATGATTTATGAAATATATAACATTAAAAAGTGTTGTAATCTCTAGACAGTAGACGTGATAATTACGATTTAAGAGCGCAGAGAAACTGTTTTATTTCTAATTTCACTATAAAAGTGCTCACAATAAGATCATCTTAACTCAGTAACCATCTGGGAATAATGTCATAGGATGTGGCACGGTGTGATTGAGTACAGTAACGTCTATGGGACCCACTCTAATGCGACTAGATTAGTAATACAAGATGTCATACAAATAAGATACCGTGAGAATTAATTACTTTAAAATAAGGAAATCATCACAAAATTCTTGTGAAACATTATTCTCTTGAAGGATACGTGGCATGTTAGGAGAAGAATAATATATCATGCCCTGAAGAAGCAAACAATGGTGAAACAAAAGTTGTTTAATACATAAACGAGGCAAACAAATTAGATCGACTCTAAAACAATATACACACACACATGTATATATAAGGAGATTAATGAAACAAAATACACATGAAAGAAGTAACAATGAAACTTTCTTCAAGGAGCAAAAGACAAAGGAAAGAAAATTAACAAATGGAACATAAGAGCAAGTTGTATACGTGGCCAAGTCTAAGCATATGGCCAAGCACACCTACCATCCTTGTATAATGTGTGGCCTCGTTCGTTTCACTGATTCGAGTTTAGAATTCGAGTTTTGCTACAGTAAAAAGCGCTCACAAACAGTCACATCTAACTTTTTGGCTACAGTAAAAAGCTCTCACATAAAATCACATCTCAACTCGAATTCTAAACTCGAATGAGCGAAACAAACAAGGCATTAATAATACTAAAAAAATTCAAGGTGAGCTTCATTAATTAAATCAAGATATTATCCATCTTAGCTATAATTTTCTAAAATAACACAACAATTAAATATATACTAAGAGATGGCAGTCCATCTCCAATTACTAGTTTAGATCCTTATGACGTGGGAGTTGTGCTCTCCCTATGAGATCCTTCAACATTTTTCCCATTAATTCTATGGCATATATTTTCAACATAATTTTAATACATCCAAGTCTATCAGGTAAGGGGCAGGTATATATACTCTTCCTTAATCTCATTACAACATAATTAAGTAAAGAATTATTATCTTATTATTTCGATTTTTTATCACTATCCTATCTCGCTACTATTAATTTTTATAATATCGTTTATGTACTTTAGTCATGATAGCGTATATATTTTCTATCTAATGCCTTATCTAAACTCATAGACCAATGCTAATTTTATTTATTGATCAGTGTCCACATATACATACATATATACGTACATATTCATCATTTAATTTTATTCATCTATGATTCACCCCGTACACATGTATCGTGTCGGCACCCTTACATTCGTGCACTCCTCTATGGCTCTTAGCGTCCTACAGGCATGGCACGCATAGTTCCCTAACGGACCCGGGAACAAACTACAAAGCAACAGTAGATGGAAATAGAGGAGAAAATACTCAAAACTCAATAAACTAACACATAAAAAACCATTAAAAACATCAAACAGAACAATCCCAATCTTTAAGGCACTTCAATAAAACATCTCCAAGCTTCCCTTCATTGATGGCCTCATAAACCTTCTCTATAGCCTCACCAGGACTCACCCTTTTTGCACCACTGAGAAGCTCAGTCCCAACTTCACTCCTCAGAAAACTGTAAACCGGATAAGTCCTGCAATTCTCAATCCTTTTCTTCGCCGCCAAGCAATCTCTGCCGCCGGCAGCGCCGTCTAATCTCTCCCTCTCTTTCGCCACCTCTTCGCCGAGCCTGGCCTTCAACTCCTCCACAAAAACAGGAATTCTCTTGAAAATTAAGTACCCTTTCCTCTCCCCACATTCTTCTTTAGTATTACCATCTTTCAACGCTCGTTCCACAACAATTTCCCTCAGTTTCGGCACGAGAGCATAAGAAGGATTTGCAGGGTCGTCGATGTAGGCGAAGACCGGCAGGTTTTCGACGGCTTGCAAGAGCTCTTTCTCGCAAAATCTTGACTCAAGCAAAGATCCATCTTCATTTGTATAAAGGGTTTTTCTCACAACTTGAAGAACAACCTGTTTGACTACTTCCCTCATGTTCTCCTCCAAATGTCTCAGATCAATCGCCTGGCAAAGCGCCACCATGAAAGTTGCCGACATAAGTTTTAGTACCCCGATCGCCTCGGCGCTTTTCCTCGCCGAAACCAGCCCCAGGGAGTTCACGTCCTGGTTGTGCTGCTCGGCGCTTTGGACATGAGTCGTGACGGGATTCGCCAAGTACTGAAGTTCGGAGCAATAGGCAGCCATGGCGATTTCCGCGCCTTTGAATCCGTAGTCCAGGCTCGGGTTCGGCCCCCCACTGAGATTAGAAGGCAAGCCATTGTTGTAGTGCTCACAAACAAGCTCGGAAAACTGAGCAAACATGAGCTTTCCGATGGCTGCTACCGCGATTCGGAGATTATCCATCGACACGCCGATCGGCGTCCCCTGAAAATTCCCGCCGTGAAGAGCAATGTTTCTCGAGACGTCAATCAAAGGGTTGTCATTAACAGAGTTTATCTCTCTCTCGATTGAATGAGTCGCCATTCGGATGACCTCAATCTGAGGCCCGAGCCACTGCGGCGACGTTCGCAGAGCGTACCGGTCTTGTTTCGGCTTCGTCAGCGGATCTCTTTCTTGACGAGATTTTGCTTCTTTAACCAAATCACTCTCGTCCAAAAGATGCTTCATTATGGAAGCTGATTCGATCTGGCCAGGATGGTGTTTGAGTTTGTGAGTCAGGGGATCAGTATACTCTGTTTTCCCCTGCATCGCTTCGCAAAACAGAGCAGAGAGAATCTCCGAAAGCAGAGCCAAGACGTTTGCATCGAAACAGACCGTGGCAGCCACCGCCGATCCTACGGCCGTGCCGTTAACAAGAGCTAAGCCTTCTTTCGCCTGAAGCTCGAATGGAGAGAAAATTCCGGCTCTTTTTAACGCTTCCATCGCGGAGATTTCTTCGCCGTTGGGGGCGAGGACTCTCGAGTTGTGTCGGCCGGTTAGTAGCCCGGCGATGTAGGATAACGGGACGAGATCGCCGGAGGCGGTTATGGATCCTCTGAGAGGTAGCTTGGGGAGCAAGTTACAGTTCATGAGCTTGGTAATGGAGTGGAGAATCTCCCACCGTATGCCGGAGTAGCCCTGCATCAGTGTATTTGTGCGGACTAGCATGGCTGCTTTGGAGTAACTGGAGGGAAGGCAGTCTTTCGGGTCTTTTCCGATGACTCCGGCGTTGAGGAACCGGATGAGCTCGGTTTGAAGGTCGGCCGGCTTGTCGGTGCGGCGGTGAGAGGTGGAGCCGAAGCCGGTAGTGACGCCGTAGGTGTCGGTCCCCCGTGCGATGTTCTCCGCGACCCAGTTAGCGCTGTCAGCCACACGGCGGCGTGCCGCCGCCTCATCAAGGTCGACCTTGACTTCCGGGCGGCGCGCCACCGCGGTGACCTCAGCGACGGTGAGGGTTGTGCCTTGAATTTCGACCGTTTGTGCTTGGGAGAATTGTGTCACCATTTGGCGGACTTCTTCAAAGTGGCTGCATTGGAGAGCCTCGGAGGCTTTGATCCAGTGTGGGGGAGCACGTGAAGCTTGTGATGCACAAGTTTGGTTGGATGCCATTTTTGGATTTTGGAAAAAGGAATGTTTGGGAATTGGGATGATGGAAGTTTTTGAAGTTCTTGGTAAAATGGTTGGGATGATGATATTTGGGTTTAAAGTTTTTGGAAGTGTTTTTGAGTGTGGGAGGGAAAGAAGTGGAAGTGGATTGAATTTATAGGAGTGAAATGAGTTTATGAGAGCCAGTAGAAGTGGGAAATGGCTGCTTCAAAGGGTTTAGTCAAGTCTTTTGTAGAAAGAAAAAAGAGGATTTGGAGTTAGATGGAAAAGCACTGGAAGTTGTTATGGCATTTACTTAGGAGAAGATTTTGTTTGTGCATGTTACTGTGTATGGTCTCATTTACCTTTTTCTTAGTGTCCGACCATTGACCAAGTGGAAAATGACACTACTCGCAGCCAACAACCTTTCTCGTGGTTTTTTCTTTTTCATTCTTTCGTGGGAACATAATTAAAGAGTACTTTGAACATTAAATTTGATCAAAAATCACGTTATAGCGAAAAAGTATGCAAAACTGATTAAACGATTTAAAATGGAATCTACAGATAGGATTTAAAATGAATTGACATGTATTTCATATCCGGCCCGTTTTTAAATCAACTTACCGACTAATGATGTCTTTTAACTAACCAACATTAAATGCGCACCAAATGTGACCAAATAATGCATGTAAATGTGTTTCAAGTTTCATGCCTTTTCATGTTAACTAAACTTCTGCTGTCTTTTAGCTAGCTCACCATCGTGTATAACACTAACTTTGACCAAGTGTCCTGGCTTGCGAGAGCAAGAGAAACTTCATTTAATGCTCATTGAAACATGGGATGATAGCGCAATATCCTATTGGAAAGCCAAGAAAGCGAGAACCCAATTTTGCAATTGAAAGATGCAATGGAGTTTTGCATATCCTGGGCATAATATATAAACGACGTATGCAATTGAACTTATGGACAACAACTAATGTGTATTTTTGTCGTCATACATCTCTGATGAATAAAATGAACCACACGTGTTCTCATAAGCAATACACATTATTTCCATGGTTACAAAGTAAAGATCATTACGAGGAGAAAGACAAAATAAAATCTTAAAAAGAGGGGCTAAACGTTGCGGTCACACACTTCCCATGAAACCACTTCTCACTTTTCAAGGATCAAAACCATGCAACAGTAAACACATTAGACGTACCAAAAAAAAAAAAAAAAAAAAAAACTAGTCCAAATCACTGGAAGTTGGAAAAACCAACACATCTATCGCGTGGAGAAACTATTTTTACTAGTTTCATCCTCCTATAGCGTGGAGGTTGCACTTCCACTTCTTACTAGTGTCGACTTTGAAGCATTGACAGAATTTAGAAATGCATTTCTGCGTAGACTTCGACTTCTAGAAAATCTGTAGATACGGATTGGTTTCTAAGAGTTTCGGGGACATCGAAAGTCAAAACCGTTCCCTTCTCTCTCCCAAAACAGATCATAACATGTTTGCGATGAACTCAAAAACGTAAATATAAATGGGATGACGATAATCAGTGCCTTTCTCATTGAAGAGAACAAATGCTATAACAATGCAAGAGATACTTACCAAATTACAATCCTATGCAACACATGTTCAGAGCCTAAACACTACAAACGAAAAGAGTTTCTTAAGAAAGTGTTGAGTGCAAATGCCGAGCCAACATGGGCTCAATATGGAGCGACTAAACAGTTAGCTGGAGCGGGCATGACACGAATACGATCGCTAGGACTAACCCGCCTTGCTTGTGATATCAAACACGTGCTCTCTTGTTGCTGCATGAAGGGCACTTGTACTGCTTAATGTGCTGAGCTCTGGCGGGAGTGATCTTCACACACTTCCCATGAAACCACTTCTCACATATGTCGCAACAAATCCAGAACTCATCAGCAGCATAGTTCTTCCCACATGCACCACACAAGGTATCTCCATGTTCCTCATAATCTTCCTCATCTAAAGCTTCCTCTTCATCCTTTGGCATCGCTTTTAAATTATTTTCCAACTCGGAAACTCGCTGCTTCAGCAATAGGATACTAATGAGTGTTCATACATAGGGTAGTGTGATAAAGTAATTGATAAGCATCTGGCATCGCATCATGCAAACATGATGACACAACTGAGAAAATTGTGATAAATTAACACATACATTGATATTCGAAAATACAACCTGTCAAAATGCTCAACGTGTGTAATGCCTGGAAACAACAGAACTAGAGGGTTTCTAGAATGAGTCTAAGCAATGGCCTCACATGCAGCACTTTTTTAGTTTTCCCAGTACAGAATGGATGGTTGATTCACCCAGCACATATTCCACCGTCGATGTGATCATAAAAAATGGGCTTGGGCAGATTAAGCACTCAGGAATAATTCATATTTGACTAGGGGAAAAAAGTGCATATTAACATATTTGAAACTCTAACATTCAAATGCCCAGTTATGAAACGCTAAAAACTAATATACGCATCAGTATTCAACAATATCTGTCAATCCAAATTGATTAAAGATTACCAAAGAGACTTGTGAAATAAATTTAAATTTTACCCCTTTAGAGCCCGACTTAGATTTGTTGCTACTGTGATTTGAAACTGATGACTTCTCCTTGGATTGTATCTTGTCAGTGCCTGAGACTACCTCATATACAGTTGGCAGATCATTTATCATAGAGAAGAGACGTTTCCTGCATAAAAAATTTATTTAGCATTTAGTTGAATGACATTGAAAGGTTCATGTTATGTTAAACACAATTTTTTTCCTATGTCTTTTCAAGAAACAAGTCCACTCGACAGGATAAGTATGTCAATTCAGATAAAAAGAGCTCACTTCTCAACTAGCAAATTTGAACGTACAACCAACCCAAAGTACACACACAATCACGCCACGTCAAACAACATTCGGTGTGTCATTTTCCTCTACCATACAGTCCCATAACCCACAGTATAGTCCTCCCAAAAACAAATCCAAACATCTAAATTTAACAAGACCTTCATCGTTCATGCAAAGGCGCAAGATGGAACGAAAGAAAATTCGTCAAATTTGAATCAGACCAACTCCACGCTTAAAATTCTCGTTGTTTACCATCTATGCAATAATAAACATAATCATTCAAACTTTAAAATTACAAATTTGGATACATCATGCATATCATAGAACTGGGAAGCAAAAGAAACATATACCTGTCAGCTTGCCGAAAACCAAATCTAGCTCCAAAATAGTAAGCTACCGAAAGCAACCATGCGTCACTGTGCACAGCAACAAGAGCCAACCAGTCATTTTCTTCCATCCCATCTCTTGCGAAGTTGATGCCCAATGCGGGTTCGGGGAGTTCCGGAGGAACTTCTTCAGCAGGTAGATTAACTTCCCATTTTTCATCAGGTAACCCATAAAGGCAAAGATTCTCCTTCTCTAAAAACCCACATCAAAACAAGTAACTAACACAAGGGCTCTTAAATCATGGAAAATTCATCCCATAACAAAATTCAAAAACTACCTAGCCAGGATACACCTAAAGAATTAACAGTGTAAAACATTCACCAGAACATAACTAAGTAACAAATATCGAGATTCAAGAAAAACCCACGACATAACAAGATTCGAAAACCAAATAAGAACAATAAAAATTTGGCTTGGATAAGTTACTTTCTTAAGCACAAAAAAAAAAATGGTACAATAATGACATTGTATGAACTTCCTCCTAAATAAAATTAAGAAGGTGACACGTTATTTATATTAAAAATTAGGGTGAAACACACAAACGGACACACAAAAAGAAACTATAATATATAAACACACACACACACACACAAAATGAGGAACACTGACCTGGATCGCACTGCTGAAAGAAATCTTCAACATCTGCAAAGAAATATCAAGAAAAGAGAAAAACGATTAATTAACCGACAAAAAAACGATAATATGAAGAAAATCCCTACAAAGGGAAAGAAGAAAACCAGAAACCCAGAAATTGAAAGTAAAGAAAGGCTTGAGAGAGAGAGAGACCATCAGTGAGCGCTTTGATCAAGCCGGCTCTGCGGGCCTTGAAATCCCTGAAGACCTCCTCCACCGAGAGATGGCCGTGCGGTCCTACTAACCTCTCCATGTCCGTACAGTTTTGGAGCTCGTTTTTTGACCCAAAAAGAAACACACACACAGAAGAGAAGAATATCTGCTCTACGTTCTCAGTAGCAGAGAGAGAGAGGAATTGGGATTTAGTTTTAAAACGAGGGAGACCCTGAAGGAAGGAAAAATAATATATAAATAAATGGAATTACTGGATTACTTACAGATATATCTTCCTTTCAAAAACTAATTTCTTTTTTGAAACGAAAATTATCGTATTTGATTTAGCAGGAAAAAAAAATTCGGTACGCTAATATATTATTAAATTAAATTTTTTATCCATCGTAACAGTATAAAAACACATAAAAAATTAAAAATATATAAATTTAATAATTTAAAAAATTTGACCTACTAATACATCTTATCAGAGAATCTCTAAAAACAAAAAACATTTTGAAATTTGATCTAATAAATTAATAAGCCGTCAAAGAACAATAGAATTTCTTCCTCAAAAGAAAAAAAAAAAAAAAAAAAAAAAAATTCCGACGTGGAGGTCCTTGACGATTCCGATTCCTGTGCAACGTTGCGTCTGCTCATTGGCTGCAGGCCACGCCACAATGCTAAAACGACTGCAATAGTAACTACAACTACAGCGGTCCCACTAAATTTTTTTAGTTGTTTTTGCTCAAATGACTTTTTTTTTTGGTCGTTTATTGAGTTTGACCCTGAAGTTTTAATATTGATACTTTTAAGATTAAATTTACAATTCTTGACAATTGCGATCTGGTAGATAATAGACGTCATGTAATGGATAGGTACAAGGCCCTAAATGTAAACGTGAAAAAGTTTGACAACAAACATGTCAATTAAGAGATTTTTTTAAGGTGTATTTATGTAAAAATTGTGCACATCTCAGTCAAGGAAAAGTGCAAGGTATTCTAAAAAAAAATAAAATAACAATAATAATTCTTCTCGATATACTAGTTGAATCCGTGTGTTAAATTTTAGGTACATGTTATTATTAAAAATATCTAAAATTTGAATATAAAATCTCAAAAAGAAAAAATAAAATTTTAGGGCAAGAAGTTAAAAAAAGGTCAAAAAAGAACTAAAATAAATAAATAAATAATTTTTAGGACAAACAGAACCGAAATGGAAAAGATAAAGTTCAAGATAAAAATAAAAAAGAGGTAAAAAATTTGCCAAAATAAAGAAGTAAATAAGTCTTAAGGTAAAAGGAATCAAAATAAAAAATAAAAAAAGGGTAAAAAGAAGCCAAAATAAAGAAATAAATAAGTTTTAAGGCAAAAGAAAAAAATAAAATAAAATTTCAGGCCAAAATAAGATCAAAATGAAAAAATAAATAAGTCTCAGGTTAAAAATAACCAAAACGAAAAATGAAATTTCAAGACAAAAATAAAAGAGGGTCAAAAAATGACCAAAATGAAAAAGTAATATTTTTTCAGGGCAGAAGTAAAAAAGGGTAAAAAAAGGAACAAAAGGAAAAATAAATAAGTTTTAAGGTAAAAAAATCAAAATAATAAAAAAGAAAGAATAAGATCTTAGGACAAAATTTTTTTTTTAAAAAAAGGTAGAAAAAAGAAATAAAATGAAGAAATAAATAAGTTTTATGGTAAAAAAAATCAAACCGAAAAGAATAAAAAGAGGGACTGAAAAAAAGAAGGGAGGAGAGCACTATTGACCAAAACGGCGCCGTTTGGTCGATAGTGCCCCAACAGTCATGCACTTTCGCATTTCTATATAGAATATATATATATATAAATTGTCTTTGGTCAGGCACTTAGAAAGTACCTGATCAGTCAGGCACTTGTATAATCATATATAAATTGTGTATATTTATACGTAAATCATGTATATTTACATGTAAAATCGTGTATATTTAACATGAAATACAACAAATCAATCAATATACAGATTTTCATGCTATGTGGTCACTAATTGCTATAAAAAAATATGTTTTGAGGATTAATATACATTGTCGTTTCCTATAACTTAACATACATGATTTATATGTAAATATACACGATTTACATGCAAATATACACGATTGTATAATTATACAAGTGCCATGTAAATATACACAATTTACTTGTAAATATACACACTTTATATAAAAATGTACAAGTGTCGTTCTGATAAGACACTTGGAAAGTGGCTGAGCAGAGACCTTACTTATATATATATATATATTTTTTTTTTTTTTTTTTTTCTGAAGCCTTGTCCTTTAAGTTAAACGGGGTGTCCATTCTGAAGTCAAATGTCAAAGTGCCACTTGCAAGTTCTTGTTCCGTCCGTACTTGAGATCTAGATCAGTATATATGGAATCCAACAAAGGCTCTTCTAAGCGCTTGAAATCCAATGGATGGGAAAACTTCTCAAAAACACAAACTCTCTAAAGGAGATGATGTTTAGTCCCTGAATATGTTGATTAACTTAATTAATCAATAATTAACGGAGAATTTCTCGGATAGGACAAAAAAATAAAATAGCATAAATTTTAACCACATTTAGAGTTCGTTTAGTTTATTAATTCGAATTAAAATATGAACTTATGTGAAAACTTTTTACTATAATAAATAAATAAAATGTTACTATTTTTAAAAAAAATTTATTATAATAAAATTTAAATTTTAAACTCGATTAAGTGAAATGATGACGTTAACTATTAGAAACTAAACCTAGAGGCCTAGGGAGAAAGTCCTTAATAAGCACAGAAAAGTTGATTTGATGTTTGAATGGTCAGGGCAAATCCAAACCATGGCCGCTTTTCAACCGCATGCACAGTGATAATAGGATAGAGTGGGATACCGCACCCTATTATTATATGCATATTTCTCATTATTAGATTCGGTTAAAATCATGTCGCCTCCAAATCAGTTGCCACATCTTTAACTAAGGATTCAAGCGTACTAACTCAGAGTTGGATTATCAAACAGAAAACTTTGAATAAGTGGGAAAAGAAAGTCAAACTAACAATACTCGACTCTCAGAATGTATAAGAAAAAAATATATGTAATATGTCAAAACTAACAATACTTTTGATTCTGAAAATGTATTAGAACAAAGATAGAAAAGCCACTAGCGTACCATCGGAGATTTTGTATATTTCAATTTTTAGTGAACTTTCTTATTTCATACAATGAGTCAGTAAAAACAGATTAAAGATTGAGCCTGTGTGTCAGAAGTCATACAGTATACACCAAAAGCATTTCACATATTTTCCCAGCGTCTGATGTCGTAAATCCAACAAAAATTTCACCAAACAGAAAAATCTGAATGGGAATAGCTGCAGAAAGGTCTTGGAAGAGAGCAACTCCTCACAGAGAGCTTTCAATTGCTGCAGCTTCAATACAAAGTAGAAAAAAGTTTTCGAGTCCTGGATGAGCCATTGAATAAAACTTCTAATGAAGAAATCCCTTGGATTTCACCTTGCCCCAATATCTGAAAGCAGGAAAAGAATCAAAAGGAGGAAAAATCGTATATATCAGTGCAGAAAAGAGCTATTGAGGACTGAAATATTACCAGTGCCACTTTTAGATGATTCGTCTTCTTTTTTCTCTGAAACATGTTGAAGGAACCGCTGAATTGTTCTCCAATAGTCATCACCACCAGCCAACCAAGTATCCATATGCATGCCAGTAGGAAATTCGACAAACTCACATTGCCTGTTATGAGCAGCTGCTTTGGCATAGAGCATTTGCATCTGGATCGGGGGAATCATCTCATCTTGCAAGCCAGAGATAAAAAAAATTGGCTGCTTAATCTGCAAAAGATGGTCAGTAAAAATGAGATATCAACTAACTTGTGATGTTGGCAGAGTAAAAATGCTATCGCAAGGAAATAGTGGAAGGGGAAGAGAGAATAGAAACACAATGTTTGTTGGGAATTTGAGATGTCACATACCTAATTAGAAACGCAAATTTTGAAACCGCTCACATCGTAGGTTCAGATTTATGAGTTGTAAAGGTTCTTATAAAATGAATATGCATAGTGAGTAGTCCAAAACATGTTTATATTCATCGGTGTCATCATAGAATAAAGTATGGTGCATGCCTAAGGTCACATTAGTCCGATGAATTCATTCACATGAACAAGATGATGCATACAGTTGCCATAAATGTCCATAATATAGGCATTAATTAAACAAAAGATAAACTCACCTCACCGATGACATCAATGGTACTCCATGGAGATCGTACAAGAAAATTAAGAATTCTAGGACCTTTTGAACCACTGCCTCCGATAAACCACTTAAGGAAAGGCAATAGAACTCCCGCCATGTCTAAAATAGATGTGAAAGTGTTCTCTATTATAAGCGCAGCAACCTGAAATGAAAAGGCATACCAAAGATTGATGTGTCCGCCAATCACAAAGAAACCCAAGTGCTAAAGTACTAGGGAACTATTGGAAAATCAAATGAAGATCTTGAACAGAAATTTTATTACAAAATCTACATAATACTTGAATTGAATGAATGAAGTGGTCAAAGAAGCAGAAATATGTTGCAGAAGCATTGAGAAAGACTTGACAGAAGTTAAATCAGTGGTCATGAAAAGCCAAAACACAACGTTAATGGCAAAAGAGATTCCTCTTTTTCTCTTCCGAACAGAAGAAATAGCGCACCAAAAAAGTAGACATTTGAAATACCATCAACGCTGTAATAGTCAGAACTTTGGCCTATGCTCATACTAGTATAAAATTGATACGAAAGCAATACAAAGAAGAAAATCAGCATCTTTGTTCTTACAACATGACAATAATTTCACGAATCCAATCTACAATTAGCTTAAACATAGAAAGCTGCCTTAGCAGAGAACTGAAAGTGAAATTGAACAAGACAAGTTTTACTCTAAAATTGACTATTATCTCACTATTTGTTTCATTCTTAATACTGTCTGTATCTCCCACCTCAAACATGAAGAGCAAAGATATAAACTCGGTTGCTAATAGCTACCAGTTCGATGTGTCTTAATTGACTCTGCTCAGGTCTTTTCCAAGGAGGGAGGGAGGGAGGGAGAGAGAATTCTTTAACTGTAGTTAAAGAATACTGGTTTGCAAATTTTAACTCAAGCATAGAGAGAGAGAGAGAGAGAGCAAATTTTATCTCAAACAGAGAGAGAGAGAGAGAGTATTCTTTATCTGTAGGTAAAGAATACTGGTGTGCAAAATTTAACTCAAGCATAGAGAGAGAGAGTTTGCAAATTTTAACTCAAGCATAGAGAGAGAGAGTATTCTTTAACTGTAGTTAAAGAATACTGGTTTGCAAATTTTAACTCAAGCATAGAGAGAGAGAGAGAGTTTGCAAATTTTAACTCAAGCATAGAGAGAGAGAGAGATTTTAACTCAAGCATAGAGAGAGAGAGAGAGAGTATTCTTTAACTGTAGTTAAAGAATACTGGTTTGCAAATTTTAACTCAAGCATAGAGAGAGAGAGAGAGTTTGCAAATTTTAACTCAAGCATAGAGAGAGAGAGAGATTTTAACTCAAGCATAGAGAGAGAGAGAGAGAGAGAGAGAGAGAGAGAGAAGCATAGAGAGAGAGAGAGAGAGAGAGTTTTCAAATTTTAACTCAAGCATAGAGAGAGAGAGAGAGAGATTTTAACTCAAGCATAGAGAGAGAGAGAGAGAGATTTTAACTCAAGCATAGAGAGAGAGAGAGAGAGTATTCTTTAACTGTAGTTAAAGAATACTGGTTTGCAAATTTTAACTCCAGCATTATCGCTCATTTACTTACCAAATAATAAGTGCTAAATTGCTAATTCTAAATTCCTAATCCCCTACTTCCTACAATGAGGAATCACATAATTTGTAATTTACCGGAAACATACCTTATCAGGATTGTTTTTAGTAACCACAGCTCCAACTGCACCCCCAAGTGACCTTCCAAACACAACTATTCTAGACGTATCAATGTCAGTTCTTTGAGAAAGATGATCCAATGCAGCCTAAAAAACAGAAGGAAATACATAGTAAAAAAGAAAAAAGAAAACTCCTACAATAAAAGCAGCAGATGAAAATTTATATTGTTAACCAACAAGCACACCTGAGCGTCCTTTGTAATTCCATGTTGAGAAGGATATCCATCACTTGCTCCGTAACTGTTTGCATAAACAAATGAAAGTAGATAAACCTGTAATTCTGTAAATATAATATGCAACAAGCATAGCAGCTGACAAGCATCATCCAAATTGAGTTACAAAGCAAATAATTAAGAGAGAAGATAAATAGTTATACCCACGGTAAGAAAGCATAAACACGTTGCATTGCAATCTCTGCACCATTATACGGACCATTTCAAGGCGGTGTGCAATATCTGAGGGTCAATCAGTCAAGGCCACTGAAAGAACATTAACCTCAATTTATTTTACTTGTGCCATATGCATCTAATTTATTGTACACAACCAGAAAAGAAGAAAGAAAATCTACAATAATGATAATGAAAGTAGGATACTTCCAGCATTTTCTTGGAAGAACAAAAGAGTTGGACCTGCAAAAGCATAAATACAACTTTTAGGCCTAAAAAAGCACAAAATACGTAAAATTACAGTTTATAAAGAACAGATGAGCAATGTAATTTCAATTTCTCCAACTTTTGCTTCAATTTTCTTTGCACTCATTATCTAGGGGATAATTACACCTAAATTGGAACGAAACAAGCTTGTTTCTGAACATCACCGGCTTAATCTAAGTAAATAAATTTAAATTGCAAAAAAATTGCCAAGATTAAGCAAGAGCTAATATAGTGATTAAGCTCGCAAATACTAGGAAAGGCTGAAAATTCAACTTATAATTTTTAACAGAAACCTAACCTCATTTTCCATTTCCAATGGAATCTAGCTTTTTTTCCAGAATCAGATCCTACGACGTCAATTTCAAGCACACAGAAAATAAAGCAAATTCAAACGAAAAGAAGGCTCGAAAATATCGAAACCCTAAATTCTCCACACGAAACGAAAAACCAGAAACGAATTCACGAGCTCCAAAGGAAGAGAAGAAGAAGAAGGAAGAATCTAAAAGGATCGGACCTCGACAATCGGGGAAGAGCTTGATGAACCAGGCGTGGAGGCGGACGCCGTCGGAGGATCGGAGCCAGACGTCCTCGTAGGCGAGACGGAGGCGCGCCGGCGTGATTGGGTAGGACTTGGTGAGGCCGGGGAGGACGGGGACGTAGACGAGCCGCTCCTGGAGCGCCACCAGCAGCGCCATGCCGGCCACCACCAGACCTCCCACTCCGTACAGCACTGCGCTCACGTACGACACCATTTTCTTTCTGATTCTCAAGCTCTCTCTCTCTCTCTTTCTCTCTCCTCACCAGGTGGAATTGGAAAGAAGGAAAAACAAAGTGGCAAAGACTTTTTTTTCTGTGTTAATTATTCTTTCATTGATCCTTTCTTACTCTCTCAAAGGAGTGTTTTTGTGCTCCTGGTTGGCGGGTGGTACGACTACTGTCTGAAAATTGAATCGATTTTCTCTCCGATTTTCCAACGAATGAGAGAATATTGACAGCTCCTTTGATCTCATCAAAATTTTTAGGATTTTTTTTTTCTCTACTGGTCCCTAACCTTTATCTTGTGTTATAGATAGGTCCCTAACCTTTTAATTTTCTTTAGCTTAAAATTAAAATCTTTTTTTTTATTATTATTTACAGAGGGATTTTGGTGTGATAGAATTCTACAGTAGGACCTCGTATGACAACTAATCGCGACCCTAACTTTTTTCTTTTATATAAACAAAAATTTAAGAAAAGGACGTCCGATGTTAACATTATCTTTTTTGGATATTACTATAAGAGATTTTTGTGAGGTAGCAAGAATATTCGCTAAAAACTTTAAAGTTTAGACTTACTCCTTAATAAGAAATACGTCACTCCACCATATTGAATGTGTTAATAATAAAGATTTATTGAGTGTGATTTAAAGCATTAGAATATCAATCTTCATATTTATAATTTTTAGACTCCGAGAGATGAAAAGTAACAAAAATAAAGAGAATTATTGTGATGAATTGATTAAATCCTTCTATTAATAAAATGATTTAAAATGGTGGGCTAGAGAGAGGATCTCTCTCTCTCTAGTCTCTAACTCTCCTCTTCCTCCTCTTATCTCTTCAACTAAATAGTAAATTGGTCCTATCCATCACCCTCCGTCCACCCCTCTCCCTCCTTCCATCTCACCCTTCAACCAAATATAGTGTTATAGAAGACCACCAACACTCAATCTTTAACTATAGACTCGTCATATTAGTCCATCACGGTAAGACTATTTTATTTGTGTCCGTTCATTTCACTAATTTAAATTTTGTTATAGTAAAAAATTTTTAAAACAGTCACATTTAATTTTTTTACTACAATAAAAAATTCTCACATAAAGTCACATCTCAATTCAAATTAAAAACTCGAATCAACAAATTAAACGGATTTTTGGTGATTACAAATCGTTTAGAGAGCATATCTTATATGGTTAGCTACTTTGAGAGGATTACATGGTAGTACCGTTACACACCACTTTATGGGCACCATTTTGTTTTAAATTGTACCGTCGAGGTCAATAACCATCATGACCGGGTGGCCCAAAGTATAATTCATCAAGGTACTAGATCTGGACATTTTGCTCAAGAATTAACGCAAGTATAGCATAGTTTTGCACAAAATTTAACACAAACACTGCACAAGGAGCATAGGAATCAACACGGTTTATTTTTTTATTTTTTTATTTTTGAAAATTATTGGACGGCTTTTCTTTGAAGTACCCATCGTTTATCTCTTTCGCAAACTTGAAAGGAAGACTATTATTGTGAATGAAGTCAAATTCATTCAATGATGTTATGCATCTTTTATTCACAAATCTTTCATGCATTTGCTGTAGCATGTGTGAGTTGTTTTCAATATTATGAATTACGAGTGCAAGTTGTGCCTTATTTACAACCCCACCATACTATGCGTATTGAATAATTACCACTTTTACTCGGCCAAAAGAGAGATTATAAATTAAACGTCCTAATTTTTCACAACCCAAAGGCAAAAGGCGAGAGCAATAAAATTGCAAAACAAAACAAACAAACGAATAAGAAAATTTATAAGAAGAATATTACACCTTAACATGGAGATAGCAGAAGGTGCCCAAAGGAGAAAAAAAAAAAAAAGGTAAATTGTACGAGTGGTCTACAAACTCTTTAAAAAGTGACAGTTTAGTCCCTATTTGTTTTTGACAAAACGAACTCTAAACTATTTAAAATGGTGCAATCTAGTCTTTTCCGTCAAATGCAGTCTAAAAAGTAACGGCACAGTGCACGTGAGACATCACGCAACCCATATTTTTGGGGTATATGTGTAAAATCACATGTTGGAAGAAGTTTTCTTTGCCCGTTAATGACAAGAGCTTTCCTATCGTAGCCAACGTTGCAATATGTCAGCTCAAAGCTTAGAGATAGCAACACTAAGAAGAGCAGAAGCCAGATGAGACTTGACTTAGCTTTCATTGTTGATGATGTTGCTCTCTCTCTCTCTCTCTCTCTCTTCTTCCTATCGTAGCCAACGTTGCAATATGTCAACTCAAAGCTTAGAGATAGCAACACTAAGCAGAGCAGAAACCAGATGAGACTTGACTTAGCTTTCATTGTTGATGATGCTGCTCTCTCCCCCCCCATCTGTATCATCTTTGTCGTTGGAGAGACATCGCCGTCGTGATGCTCGAGATCGTGAGGATCTCCCAATGCCTCGCCTCTTCCACATTCCAAATCTGAAAAATATAGCTCCAACGTTGATCGGTGGTTGTCGCAAGTTGTCTGACCTCATCGGAAAGTCAAAATTGAATGTGGAGCTGGTGGTCGGTGCAAACGTTCCAAAGCTACAATGGCAGTCGCCGTCTGAGGACGCCACAACAGGGGAGGAGGAAAAAATATTTGAATAAGATAACAGTAATTACAGACATTTTCTTCTTTCCAGCCAAAACATGAGCCACGTGATAACTCACGTGCACTGCGCCATTACTTTTTGAACGACATCTAAAGAAAAAGACTGCATTGCACCTTTTTAAATAATTTGAGATTTATTTTCTTAAAAAAAAAAATTTAAGAACTAAACTGTCACCTTTTAAAGAGTTTGAGGACCATTCATATAATTTACCCAAAAAAGAATTTTAATAATGTTGTGCTGGCAAATGGTGTCGCACATCATTGGTTTGGTTTGGTGGGAGCAACTTCAACATGAAACTTCTTATAAATATATACTGCCAATTAATTATTCGTAAAATGCTATATTCACCAACTAATCTGCAAATCCGAAAATTCCTATAAAGTCATGAAACTTGTACCATAATTGTTTAGAAAACGACCCCTTACCAACAAGTCTTTTCGATTATTTCTCTCTGAATAAGTCTTCCAATCACTATCAAACACAACAAACCCTTTTAATTCGTCGTTTTGCCATATGAAACCAAAAGGCATAGCAATGATACCATATAACTAAGAAATAAACATATAAAATTTTTAACACCATTTTAACAAACTTAACATCCGTACCACACTCATTACTAGTTGATCCACAAAATACATTAACACCAATCAGTAATTTAAAGCGGGACTGCTTCGTTTCATACAGATCTACAAAAACAAAAGGCTTTGGGGGCGTCTCTAAACGCATATTTCACAAACAAGATTTCAACTTAGAAACGTCTAGGAGCAACATGATAGAACGTAGAGTAATAAAAAGCCAAGGATGATTTGCCTGACCATGGACAACACATGGTCCATGTTTGTCACCGGACAACCGAAGCGCAGTGCTGGGTTCCGCCGTGCAACAGCATCCCATTGCACTGCATGGCTCCGCCCATGTGGGGAGCTGTGCCTGGGAAACGGCGACTGCTGCTGTCTGGAATGGTTGTGGTGTCAGAACGGGTTGGAACGGTAGTGACATACCCGCTAAAACTTGAGAGATGACTTTCATGTCCAAACGCGTCTTTCTTGACCTGATGCATCTTCACAGAGTCCGGGGCGCAAAAGGGGTTGGGGTTGGCGGTGATTGTGGTGGCAGCAGTGGGACTTGGATCCGGCAGTTGGTTTTGGAGCTGCTTTTTGCTGAGAAAGCGTCCACCAGATCCCCTTACCCTATTCAAGGCGTGAAGATGCCGGGACTCGTGAAGATATGGCTGCAAAATAGGGTTTTGATGAGGTGAATCTTTCGTTTATTTTAGAATAATAATGTTAGATATTCCAACTCTTTAACCAAAAGTCACAAGTCACTTGCTACATCAGTTGAAAAATCAGTAAACTACACAATTCCTTTAAAAAATCTTAAAAATCCCCCAAAACCCCATATAGAGGGCTTGAGTTTGAAATTGAAGCTCCTGAAGAACCCTACAAGCTTTTGGGAACACAAACTCATGATTGTTCACAAGATAAGTGACCCGGAGGAAGTTATACCTAAACCACATGCACGACTGTTTAACTAATCTCGACGTCTGGGAATGAATAATTCATCCAAGGATGTGTTTACCAATTAGTACTGATTTGTAATCAGAAAAAAAAAAATGGACAAGGAAATAGAAAAGAAAAAAGAAAAGGAAGCCAGCATTCGATTCAAGTGTGTACTTTGCAACACAGTATAAAAATTGAACTTCTAATTTAGAAAGTAAACACATGAAGGCAACAGAAGAAAAACACCAATATTTTCTTTTCATTCAATGCCCTAAAAGGATGAATTAAGCGAGAGAACATTTCATTCTACGGAAAACGGAGTACTACAAAATAAACATATCCTTCCAGTTCCATGCAGGAGGAAAGAATTCTAACTACACAGAAAAATAAACGCCAAAATGTTGATATACATAAAACATATACCTTGCGATGTTTTATGAGTTTGTTTTGAGCCTCTTGCTTTGCCCGTGACTGTCGCCTTCTGAGGATTCCATGGTATTGTTTTGCATTGACATAGATGGGTCCATCATCCGCAAGATCCAAAGGCAATGGAACTCGTGCAGGAGCTATTCCCACCATCTAAGGCCGAATTTGGATAAATCAGAATTAACATACATAAATTTAACAAAAATCAAAAGTTCACAACAAATATGCAACAACTACCGTGGTTAAAGTTAAAGATCGATCTTCTCCTAATAGAATGAAACTCAAATCAGCCTCGACACAAGAAAGAAAAAAAAAAAGAAAAAAAAAAACAAAACTTCCAAGGTAATATCCATTCAGAAAAAAAGAAAAAAAAAAAAAACAAAACTTCCAAGGTAATATCCATTCAGAAGTCGGAACAATAATGTTACAAAAAACTAGATCATAAATGCACCTAAAGTGTTCTCATAAACATTTTAATTGCATCTAAAGATCAATGAAATAGTAAAATGCTGATAGGAACTTGTTAGTTGGTCAGAGAAGTTAGTAGTTTGTTAGAAAGGATGTTATTAGTTAGTTACTGTGGACTTTAGTTGGGGAGGGAATTATTTAGAGAAGGCAGAGGATATTAAAGGGGGGTTCGGGAACTGAGAGAGGGGAGGAAATTACTGGAGTCTTGTTGAGGAAGTCTTGGCTAATGCTGAGCAGGGGAGATTGGGCAGTATCTCGAAGAACTGTTCTTGTATTTAATTTCTGTTAGTCAATAAAGATCATATTCATTCTTTCAATTCTTTCTAGTTAAATTCTACATTCTGTTCTTATCAAATGCTTCATATAACACAACTTACAAGAGCTTGTGGTCCATATGAAGTCAATAGCCCGCCAAAGTAAGGATCAACATAGGGGTACGGAACACCAGCCTGAAAGCGAGAAAACACGAGTTAACAATCGGCTGGTCACAACCAAAGTTTGAAGGACAACAGCTCACCCTACCATTGAATGGCTGCAACCAACTTGTGAAAGATTGTGAGAAAAATCTGGATTGCTTAACAAGAATACTGGCTTCATTTGATCTTCAGCACCCTCAGAGGAGATTGCATCTTCACCTGGTGAATGGGAAATAACTTTTTTTTTTTTTTTGGAGCCAATGGGAAATAACTTAGTAGGTGTCAAGAAACCTACCAACAGAGTACCGCAATAGCACAAGACAAGAATTTGTTTTGAGATAGCCCCCTTAGTGGTCCACTTGAAATCAAAGCAAATATTACCATATTATATGAAATTAAACAAAGTGCGAGTTTCAACTGACTGAAATAAATACCCCTTTGATGAAATTTACTAATACAATCAATACTAAAAGCTTCTAAAAAAAAAGGTGGGATAATAGGAGGGGTGAAGGAAGTACAAAAAGGATAAAAATTGTCCATGCACAATAAACATGTATTCAAGAATATTTCAAGTGCTGAAAGTATCAGAATATTACATTAACATAAGAAAGAACGATACCAGAATCTGATGATATCATTGATCTCTAGATTTGATCCCTCCCAAACAATATAGATTTTCTTGAGATTGACTAATTGATTGACTTGGGGATGAATCCTGACCAAGAACTTCAAAGTTGAAACCCTAAATTCTTTGTAATGAGATGAAGTGCTGGTCGATCTTCCACGTTGGTGCTTACATCCAGACGCAGGAATTTTCTGTAAATTTGAATGTCCAGACAACAGAAGTTAACAATAAAGAAAAGGGCATTAACTTGGTTAACTTAAAATAAAAGTCTTGTTTGTCAGCATTAGCCATCTAGTTTATACAACGTATCCTGAAATATAACACAAAATCAACAAGATAAGTAACCAAAAGACTTTTTGGTCCTTTTCAAGAATAGAAATAGAAAAAATAGAAATTTAAGACATTATAAGATAGCTATTTCTGTGTCCATTACAACAGAAGACATAGTTATATTGTATATAACAGGATCAAAAGAATGTTTCAAAATTCTGCACACAAGCTACACCAATATCATCAAACAAGAACATCTATAACCTCACCTAGCCACTAAAGGCACACAAGAGAAGTAGTAGTACAACTTAAAAAGCATGAAATGACTATGCAAACAAAATGATTATTCTTCTATCTCCAAAAACATGTACCAACATAAATTCCTAGGTTTAGCAACCTGATTTGAAGTGGCAGACACTATCATGGTTGAGTCAAAGAGAGTTTTTTTTTTTTTTTTTTTTTTTTTTTTTCGTCCTACAAGTTACAACACTCCATTACTTTATCCACTCGGTTGAAAAAACAAATTTGAACCCAAAAAGAAAAAAAAAAAAAAAAAAAAAAACAAACACAAACAAACAAACAAACAAATCAAAACAAGTAACCCAAGCTTTCCATGTCCCACTGATACTGAATCCCAGCTCATCAGAAACGAAGGCGTAATCCATAAAAAAGGAGTTCCAAAAAAAAAAACAGAGATAAGTCTTTTTACTACAAACAGAACAAAATAAGCAATCATGAAATGCAGTAATACCCACCGACAAAAACCAATGAAACGGTAAGAAACATGACAACCCCATGACCCAAAATCCAATCCAAAACAGAGAAAAAGCCAGAAACCAAAGGCATCATCATCAATCAGCGAGATTTTTTACTTTACTTTTCCAGGACCACTTTCCCTTCTTCAACAAAACTAAACTTCTACAACAACATTGCTATGATCTCAGACTGTACTCGGTAAAACAGCAAATACGACGAAACCCACTTAGATTCCACAACCAATAAACGAACCACACACCAAATAGGCTACTATAAAAGCGAAAGATGATTTTTTTTTTTTTTTAATGAAATGAAAAGGAAAGACAGAAACCAAAGCAATGGGAAAGGTGGAGAGTGCAGACGTACGGCTTAAGAAAGAATCACCCAAAAATATAGAGAGAGAAAGAGAAAGAGGAGAGAGACCTTTGGAATCTGATACGCTGTGAAGAAGCAAGCTACAGAGCTGTTGGGATGAACTTGGACATGTCTCCTTCTTCCCTATAACTCTCTCTCTCTCTACTTTTTGTTTTCTCTTTCTCTCTCTTGCTCTTGTTTCTTGGGTTTGCTGTAACTAATACACAAAAGCCATAAATTCCCCAATAAAAACACCCTCCATCTACCCACCCACCATCTCTCTCACTCTCTCTCTCTCTTGTTGTTTGTTTTTTCTTTCTTTTTTATTTTATTTTCTATTTTTTTGGGTGGCCCCACGGAGTCGCGTCGAAACACGGCCTTACTTTGGCTGCATTCTCTCTCTGCATCCATCAGCCGCCGTTCACTGTTTAATACTTCTTTCCCCACGCGCGGATTCCAAACGCTTCGCTCCCGCACCTGCGATCTTTTAATTCGAATGTTTATTTTAAGAGCTCATTCTTAATTTTAAATTGTAATTTTTAACTTTTTATAGTATTTTTAAAAAAAAAAATTAAAATTTTAAAAATTAAAATAATAAATAATAATTTTAAATTTAAAGGCATGTTTTTTTTTTAAAAAAAATTAAAAAAAGACAACTCAAGTTTTAATTTTATTCAAGTTTAAGTTCTTTTAAGTTTTAACTTTATTCAACTTTACTTAACATTATTCAAGTTACAACTTCCCGTTTAGTTCGCTGATTCGAGTTTTTAATTCGAGTTTAGATGTGATTTTATGTGAGAGTTTTTTACTGTAGCAAAAAAGTTAGATATGATTATTTGTGAGAGCTTTTTACTGTAGCAAAACTCGAATTCTAAACTCGAATTAGCGAAATGAACGGGGCCTCAATTCAAGTTATAACTCAAATTTAACTCAAAAATTACGCTCAAATTACACTCTAAAAGAACAACTCTTAAACGTCTCATTAGTTTCCGGTGGCTCTTGCTGATTGGTCGGTGTTTGACACGCTCTGCTCCGGAGAGTTGTGAAGGTGAGTGGAGTTGTGGTGCATTTGCCCCCGATTGTTGCTTTAATTTCGGAAATGCCCTCCGACCTGACGGCATTACAAAGAGAAATTGACACAAGAAATGACAATGCTTTTTTTTTTTTTTTTTATGGAATGAAAAGGCTTTTTCATCATAAAAAATAATAATAAATGAAAAAAAAGTTTAGAACGTTACATTTGAACGCCGTGTTTGGAAACAAAACTTAAATGATGTGTAGTTACTTTTTAGTTCTATTAAATTTTTGGTAATTACTACATGAAATATCAGTTTCATTTCAATACTTGTGAGTTTTTTTTTTTCCCCCTCTGAAAGGCCAACTTTTCATCTAATACATCATTCTCTCAAAAAAAAAATTATTATTCCTCTTACCTAGAATAATGATGTATAACAAAACTTTTTGTTTCCTCGAGTAAGAAAAAACAGAGATAATAGTGGCATATTCCCGTAAATGGCTTGCAAAGAGAAGGGTTATTTGGTAAATAGACAGAGTCCACATTGGTCATAACAGTTAAAGAAGATAGAGTAAAAATTAAAAAGGTAATTTGTCGTTTTCCTTGTGCTGTCGGGTAGAGGAGGTAGAATCTATAGGGAGGGAGGGGAGGCATTGACTATTATTATAATAATAACATAAAATAATAATAAAATAAAATAAAATATTTTGTAGTGCAAGACAACCATGCTGGTACAGTTCACTGTTCAGATAGGGTAGAAAAAGATTTCTCTCATCAGTGGCTTGGAACATATCCAAATCCAAAAAGACTTTTCCCATTTCCTTAAAGAGGCTGGTTAAATATCACTGCTCGTTTTTAATTATAATTTATAGTTTGTTATAGTGTTATTTCTCATAAAAAATACACATAAATTAAAAATAATTATAATCTTATAATTCTAATTCATGAACAAAACATCTCTTTATATGTATTTTTTTTAAAAATAAATATTATAATAAATTATAAATTATTATTCAAATCATGTCACAAATATACTAACCAACCAATCGCACCCTAAACTCCCGTTTCAAATTTCAATGCATCACCAACTTCCATAAAAACTTCCATAAAAACTATGGGGATGATTGCTCTTTCCCAGCCCAAAAGAAAACAAGACGACAAATTCCATGTAATATTGCTTCTTTGATTATTAACTTGAAGGCTGATCATTCATATTATTTTATTTTTTAAAAAGTTTTTGAAATAATTAATTTAAGTGTTCAATTTAAATTCAGATATAATTTTATATAGAGTTTTTAATTATAATAAAAAAAATTAGATGTAACTTTTTATGAGAGTTTCTAACTATAATAAAATTAAAATTAAAAATTCAAATCAGTAAAATAAAAAGTGACCTTAATTAAAACTTCGGATAGTAACAAGGCATACATTTACCAATGCCTTTTTTTTTTCTTAGTTATTGACCGCTAGAAGCATCAGTTTGTGTTTGAAATGACATTCTTATACCTAATACTATGAGAGGGAGGAGTAGACCAAGAATTACGTAGACTAAAGTAGTTAGAAATTACATTCTAAATTTAAGCATTCAGAAAAGTCTAATTTCAAACAAAGATACGTGAAAAAGTGAAATCCATATAGCCAATCCCAATTAAGATAGAATTAAGACTTATTATTGTTGTTGTTGTTTGTTGTTGTATTTACTGATGCCTTCTTGGAGACATCTCTCTTAACATCATTTTTATGGCCGGTATAAAAGATTAACAGAACTATAATTTAAATTTTATGAGAAGATGTTATAATAGAATTTTTTAAATTTAAATTTAAAAAAAATACTATTTAAATTCAAATCAAAATGGTTTAAACCCATCAATATATCTCTTGAAGTTTAGATACTCAAAAATCCTTAAAATATACAATTTTTACTCTGGAGTGATATTGTGTTGAGAAAAGTGTATGTGTGTGTTGTTTCACATAAAAAGTGAATGAGAATGTAAAATAATTTATATACATAAAATGACTCAAGACTTAATAGGTTAACATTTTGAGTCAAATTAAACTCTTAAAGCGTGTTAAACGAGTTTTACATATGGTGTCTCCCTGACATATTGTCTAAAAACAACCCATTTTCAATGAAGAAGTAAAAAATATTTTAAAAACATATAATAAGACCTCCAGAAAATGAATATCAAATATCAAATGGATATTTTCAAGAATCATTTGAAAATAAATATTACAAAATTTACGGGGAAAATTCAGAGAAATGCCCTGTAAAAGTTGTACTTTTAGGCCTCATTCATTTTACTGATTTGAATTTTTAGTTTTAAGTTTTTACAGTAAAAATCTTTCAAAAAATATCACATCTAATTTTTTCTGTTACAGTAAAAAATTTTAAAAAAATATCACATCTCAATTTAAATTAAAAATTTAAATATGTAAAGTGAACATGCCATTTTCTAGATTGTTCCTCTCTCTTATTAAAGGACATAGTTAACGCCTCAAGATTTTTTTTCTACTTTTTCGACACTATCTGCCCTCCAATATTACATCAAGAGCATGACGTGGTAAGATTATATGATGATTAATCATCAAAAGGACGATTATCTCACGAGGAAAGAAAAAACAAAAAACGAAAGCATCTAGAAACAAACATAACGGATAAAAGCACTTTAAAATAAGGTTTAACGAGACACGTGCTATCCGATGAAGCGCCAAAAATCACAGTTGGGCTCAACTTATTAAAGGGCCTACCTATGCTAGGCATAAGGTAATTCCCAACACATAGAGACGAATCTAATAATGGATAGAGACGTGCCACCAAATATAACATAGAATAATATCCCAAGACATTTTTCTTTTCTTTTCTTCCTGGAAAAGAATTACTAGAATACTATTTAGTGTTGAGATATTCTTATACTGTCCAAAAAATAAAAAATAAAAAATAAAAAATAAAGCTCCTTGGTAGAGAGTTTGAAAATTCAACTCTTTTTCTTTAGAAAAACCCTATCCATCCAAACGGGCCCCACTAATGTCAGTAATTAGGAGAAATCCCGTTTTGGATGAGCAGCATTGCTCTTTTCCTTTACGCAAGGACATGGTCAAGCTTCAAGAAGGCAAAAACAAGACAAATTAAACTACAAAGTAGACTAGGGTGAGGGTTTATTTAGCGGGCTTTGAATAGAAAATTAAAATATATATATATATATATGCAAAGTCTATAATCCGGTATCGGATTGTGTTTTTTTTTTTTTTAAATATATATTTTTTATTTTAAATGTATATATATATATTTTAAAATATGTATATATTGTATATTTTATTATAAAAAGAAATGTATATGTTTTAAGAAAAAATATACACATTCTAAAGAAGAAATATGCATATTTTATAAAGAAATGAATAAGTGCCGCTTTAATCCGGTCCCGGTTTAAATATTTTATGAGAAACAATACCATAACATAAAGGTTTGAGGTATGGTTCAAACCCGGGAGACCAACGGCACCTAGGTTTCGAGCAGAAAAAAATGCCACAGATACCAACAACAAAAAATCATCAAAATAGACAGGCAAATTATTACTATATACTAAAAAAAACCCGTCTGGCACTGTTCATCCAGACTCAGTTTACTGTTTTTGCAATAGTGTTCTGACGATTTTGCCCTTATTTCCCTGTTGTTCCTTTCTTCTGTGCGGGGGTCATTCTGTCTTTTTGCGCCCTAAGCATTCAGTTTGTTTTGGGATTCAACTTGATTTTACGGTTTCACCCCTGCTTCTTTGTTCTTCTTTTTCACTCCTATCTTGAGGGATTTCGGTCATTCTCCTTTGGGGGCATTATCTTTCCTCGATTTTCTTCTCATCGCAGCCCTAAATTGTTTTGCCTCTTTCATCTGCCTTTCTCTCCACCTCCTTCATCTGCTCTTTGCCTCCGCCTCTTATATTGTTCTTCGGCGAGTATTGTGGGCTTTTTCTCTCATGGGTCCATGTTCTCCTTCATCTGCTCTTTGCCTCCGCCTCCTTCATTGTTCTTCGGCGCATATTGTGGGCTTTTTCTCTCATGGGTTCATGTTCGTTCCCTTTCTCATGTCATTTTGGACGATGTTGTTGGGTTTTGCCGCCTCTTTTCTTTGGTTTGTTCGGACATTTTTAGTTTTGGGTTTGCTTTGATTTTCATCTGTTATTTTTGTGCATGGTTATTTTGTTCTTTGTGTAGTTAAATTTCTCAATATTTGTTAAGATTGGATGCAATTTATGACT